TCATCATGGGTGTCATTTTCATGATTTTCGAGGGTGTTGAAGCCGATAGTGCTGTTGAAATGTACGAGTATTTAAACTACTTTAAAAATTCCGTATAATCATGTTATACGTAATTATTTTAATGCGCTTAAGGTATGCCCAATTTATTGTATTTACCAATATATTGTAGTCTATCCAGGCGGCGGAGAGGTTCCGAACTACTTACTAACTAATTTTAATTTGGAGAAGAGTATCGTAAGCTTATATAAATTTCTTGTAATGGGTGAATACAATTTTGGGTGTTTCCTGACTAATTTACAAGACACGAGGATGTAGATAGAGATAAGTGTTAGTATTATATGTTAAATGAAGTGAAGTTTACATGATTCCATTTGGTCTAAATTCGTTAATACTCAGACACTTCTTTTGTAATATAAACAATTTGAAAGAGTTTTTCCCACAATATGATGCCATAGGAGAGTACCGAATGAGGATGTGCATAGTAAGCCACAAGGGCAGTCTTAAAATCTGTCACACGTTTAAGGTGTTGTTGAGAGTATATTAAGTAATATAATATTTAGTAATAAGTAATTAAATAAAAGAGAATATATTTTACAAATTTTCGTATGTGCTGTTTCCAACTCATATGTATATCCAGGTCTATTCCTAACAAAGTCGCAGCGTTAGAGTCTCTTGTTTTGTGTTTTTATAGCTATGGAATATTTGTAAATAATTTTTGGTAAAGTTGAAATTGAATAATTTTAGTTTTATTAAGGTTAAGTTGTAGATGATGTAATTCTAGCTAGTTAGTAATTATACCTAACTAGCTGTGCCCCGCGGTTTCACCCGCGTATATCACGCATCTACGCCTTGCGACATGCGAACTTCGAGAGAGACAACCCGACGGACGGTTGCTGAATTAACAAAGATTTAAAAAGTGAAATATGTTACTAAAATACACATGGTTAACGTAATTGGTGGTTATGCATGATTCAGGTACTGATACGAATAATGTCTAGGCCACATTATTCGTATCAGTACGTACTCGTATTAGTAGTATTTGTACCGGCGTTACTATTTCACATTTTAACATGAAAAAGTAGTTATTGTGACATAACTGGTCGGCCACATACATACGGAATTCCGTTTCGTGATTCTGTATTCGGAATTCCGTACGGGTCGGCCACACACATACGGAATCCCGTTTTGCCGGCAAAATTTCGAACGGAAAACTACCGTACGTGTCTGACGGGTCATAGATTTTATAAGGACTTGCTGCGTTCGGAATCCTGAATCGGAATATTGAAACGGAATCCCGAAACGGAATTCCGTATGTATGTGGCGGGCCTAATCGTTAAACATATGGTATCGCAGACTTTTTTGTAGAGATTAATATCCTCTATAAAAGTGAAGTACATTACTTTGGTCTATTATCAATAGTTTCCGAAGCGTACGCGATATAAGGATTCTTTTTGGTATTTTTTTCACACCTTGGGTTACATTAACGAAGTTTTCATACGGATCCCTAACTTTTTTGAAAATATTACATAGCCTATGTTCATCAGGGATAATGTAGCATTCTAATGGTGAAAGAATTTTTCAAATCGGTCCAGTAGTTTCGGAGCCTATTCAATTCAAACAAACAAACAAACAAACAAATCTTTCCTCTTTATAATAGTAGTGTAGATGTAGATGTAGATGTAGATGTAGATGTACACGCATGATATAGGTACTGATACGAATAATGTCTAGGCCACATTATTCGTATGAGTACGTACTCGAATTAGTAGTATTTGTACCGGCGTTACTATTTCACATTTTAACATGAAAAAGTAGTTATTGTGACATAACTGTAATAGTTAAACATATGGTATCGCAGCTTTTTTGTAGAGATTAATATCCTCTATAAAAGTGAAGTACATTACTTTGCTCTATTATCAATAGTTTCCGAAGCGTACGCGATATAAGAATTCTTTTTGGTATTTTTTTCACACCTTGGGTTACATTAACGAAGTTTTCATACGAATCCCTAACTTTTTTGAAAATATTACATAGCCTATGTTCATCAGGGATAATGTAGGATTCTAGGTAGGTAGGTAGGTAGGTCCAGTAGTTTCGGAGCCTATTCAATTCAAACAAGCAAACAAACAAACAAATCTTTCCTCTTTATAATAGTTATAATTTAATAATTATAATACCTAATGTATAGTTCAATTTTGTTGCTAAATCTGTGGAGTTAGTGCAACAGATTAAGATTTCATTAGGAAATGTCATTGGTAAACAATACATATAAATAGTCCAGTATGTTTGGGAGATTATTTATCTAAAAAAGAAACAAAATTCATCTTAAACGCTACCTTGTGGGATAGAGCCAGTAATGAAAGTTGCATCCGGTCTAACATGAGTAATTTTGCCAGTCTCGAAGTCGGTATTTTCAATTTCTACATATTAGAAGCGATTATCAAGATAGGATTTGATGATATAATTTATCCATTAGAGTTCCATAACAAATTCTGTCATCGGCTTTACTCATATCGAGTAAGAGGCCTACTGCGAATTTTTAATTGTCGATTTTGTCTAAGATGTTTTTTTACGTATTTATAAATTACTAAGGCGGTAAATTTGTCTTTTCTAAAGCCATTTTGGTTTTCATGTAAAATTTTAAATTTTTCATAAAATGAACAAAGGCGTTTTGTCATAGTCGCTTCAAATAGTTTAGCTGACGTAGGTAACAGAGTTAAATGTTGATAATTATTTATGTCAGTAAGTTCACCTTTTTTATGCACGGGTTTGATTAAGGATACTTTGAGGGCATCATACAACATATTTTGGAGGATATCTCCAAGATACCCTCTAAAAAAGATCGGTTGAATAATATTGTATTCTCGGCTGTAACTCATCACCTAACAGTTGGAAATACATAACATAAAAACATAAACACTCATGCCTGTCACCCAGAGGGGTAGGCAGAGATTATGGACTTCCATTTGGCACGATACTGACACACCTCTCTCGCTTCCTCCACATCCATAAACTTACGCATACAAGCTCGTCGGTTAAAGGTACTCTTGATTTGGCCCATTTTTAATATATCGCCAATTTGGTCGATAAACTTTCGCCTAGGGCGACCCTTCCCGTTCACCTCTGCAACATAAATTTGCTTTGTCACTCTTTCCTCATTCATTCTTTCTACATGGCCAAACCACCGCAGCATTCCTTTCTTAATCATGGTCACAACATCATCTTGCAAACCACACTCTTCTCTTATTAAACAATTTCTCACTCTGTTATTCAGCTTCATCCGTTGGAAATAATACATAATTAATAGAAAAATGCATTACTTTGTGGAAATCCATAATACTAAAGGTGTTAGAAATTAATTAGGTAAGATACGCTCTTCAAACTAGGTTAAACACAAAAACGTTTTATTTTATTAATTTTTAATTTCTTTAATATTATCTATCCTCCTTCTTTATTATCATAAAACATTTCATAATGCATATTATGGACCTTACCTGTTAAAGAAAATATTTGCCTTACTTTCCACACTTTGTGTGCGGATTGGCAATTGTAGTACAAGATGTGTAGCACCAGTTGACGCTGCTCGAGATGATTATACTGACATCTACCGGAGACCATGGGATATCTTTGGTCTTTTCTAAGTACGTATTTATGTATTTATTTATTTATTAGGTGTACACGAAAGTTTAAATTCAAAAAAATAGCTTAACAATTTTATGAAAAATTTTTTTTAGATATGATTATTGTCGATAAAAAATTATGTGGAGTTGACATGAAGTAGTGAAACAGTCTAGTGCAAAATTTATCTATAATATTATCGAATAATTCAATGTTCCTTCATGATACTATCGAAATCATATCATTATAAGAGCGACAACGATTATAAGTTATACTTGGTTACTATCCCACCTCTAATAAATGGTGATGGAGCCGAAGATTTAATTCATCTGTTGAGCAGATTCTTACTTCGCACATCTACTTTTTAAAGTCGGCTATCATCAGCGATCTTTTTGTGTACTGTTGACTCAATGGTATTGAATTAAATCAATAATAATTCATTAAGAGCAGAATAAAAATTTACTTCTATAATATAAAAATCAATCGCTGAATGTGTTGCTAAGCGCAAATCTCGAGAGCAGCTGTACCGATTTCGCCAATTCTTTTTTTATAATATTCCTTGAAGTACGAAAATGGTTTTTACGGAGAGAAAATTTTAAAAAATTGCCTGTAAAAGGATAAAAACAATACTTTTATATATTCCCATACAAAATATTCGTAATAGTACTTAAAAGTCAATTTGAACTTTAATATCATACCATAATGTTTAAGTGTTAGTGGAGGGGTTCCGGGAAGGCAAAACAATTGTGTGATATTAGTATCGTAAAAATATTAATGTCAATATTTGTCAATATTTATACACACTGGCAGATTGCTCATGTTATAAGGTGAAACTTGGGCTGCTTTTCTTTTAGGGTTCCGCGAAAAATAACTCCACACGGGCGAAGTTGCGGGGAACACCTAGTTTATAACAATTTCTCATTTCCCATAACTAAGTTTACGGCTTAAGACATAAAATATTTACACTGGAGGAAGCAGCACCTTCTTCACTAAGCTGAGAGCCGATAACTACATTAACCCGGCGAGCATGAGGTTAAAAAAAGTTACATCAAGAATGTGGCAGGGTGGGACATACCCATAATTTAATGTACCATATTTAAGTTCTTATTATTATTATTTTTACTTTTAATGATTTTATTATGTAAAACAATGAATGATTTAATAGAATTAAATGAAACAAGTTTTTAATTATGAAATTATTATTATTTATTAATGTTTTTCATAAACTTTGTAATTATAGAAACAAAAGTTTAAGGACTTACAAAAATTTAGAATTTAATAAAAATATTATTCTTTGGAGTGTAAAACAACTTAAAATTAAAACATAGTGAGATCCTCCTTGTGAAAAACTTATTATTAATTTTTTTTAATTAAAAATATGATTAACCACTACTGTCGAGATCAGCACAATTTTCGCAAATAAATTTTGCGTGCTCCATACATATGGGCTTGGCACAAGCATTGCAGGAATATTTGGTTTTTCTATCCTTCTTGTATGGACAGTCCTGACATCTGACATATCGTCCGGGTATATTCACATGTCTAGGTGAGGGCTCACCGAGCTGTTTTAAGATTCGCTGGCGGATGTAGTTTGGAATATGCTTTTTTGATTTTCTTGAATGTAGGTGTTCGTAAATCATTGATAAGCCCAAATTACGAATGAATTCCGTTCTCTTGATTGTGACGTTTTTGTTTGCTCGGTATATAATGCAAGCATTGATAGCTGCCATGTTCAATACACCATAGAATAAAGTCATAGGCCACCGTTTACTGTTGCGACTAACATTATAACTGGAACTTAATTCATCAACCACGTCAACGCCAGCTTTGGTCGAGTTATAAAATGTTATCATTTCAGGCTTTTGTTTCTCGCCTGTAGATACATCTATTGAATTGTCATGGTGCATAGTGGACATAACAATAACCACCTTGTTCTTCTTTGGCGCATAGGAAACAAGTGTAATATCTTTTTGAAACCCAAACAGTGAACTGTTTGGTTGTCTGTCAGTTCTAATAAAAGATTCAGGAATCTGTCTCTTATTCTTCCGTACAGTTCCAACCGACGTAAGTCGATGCTCGTTTAGTAGATGCAGCATTAGCTCATATCCAGTGAACCAGTTATCAAATGTTAAGTTGCGGTGTGATCGTGAAACTGGTTGAATGAGTCTCTCCACTACTTCAAACGGTTTATTACTGACTGCATATGGTCCCGGCGGTTGTTTGCCTGAGTACACTTCCAAATTCAAAACATAGAAGTTTTTTGCATCGACCAGAGCTAAAATTTTTAGCCCGTATTTAGCTGGCTTGTTTGGAATGTAGACGCGGAACAAGCATCGACCTCTAAATGCCAGTAACATCTCGTCAATAGTCAGAAACTCACTTGGAGAGTACGCATTCTGGCAGCATTGAACAAACTGGTCAAAAATGCTTCTAAAGGCTGCCATATTATCAGTTTGTTTACGCTCCTCTCTCGTCGATTTGTCGTCAAAACGTACAGCATTTTGAAGAAACTGGAATCTCTGCAGTGACATGGTGGTACGAAATATATCAACACCAGTTCCATCAGTTCGCCAAAGATCTTTCAAACATTGTCGATTAGATTTGGCGACGCCAGCTAAGTACAGTAAGCCAATAAATGCTTTCAACTCACAAATAGTGGTTTCTTGCATGTAAGAAGGAGCTTTGCAATTCGCATTATCTGCAGCATTCGCATTATCACGCTGTCTTTGCCGAATTTTCGAATTAGTGTGAATCAAGATTTCTTGAAGCATGTTTGTAGTCACAAAAATATTCCAGCATTCATACTCTGTACCAGCATCCCTTGCAGTATTCTTTACTCGAGCATGTTCAGTTACGATGTTTTCAGAACGAAGCCTCACGTTTGGACGTTGACAATTTTTATACCACTTGGTACCATCTTTAGACGTATAGAAAGGGCCATTTACTTGCCTTGAAGCTGAGTCTCTCTGCCTGAGTAGTGACAATGGTAAATCGTCCTCTGGGTCGTTACACGATTCATTTACTGCAACTTCTTCCTGCCTGGAGTTGGATGAAACATCAACTGAATCGTCACCTTCTTGTTCCGTCTCAGAATTCAATTCGTGCTCGCTACAATGATCAGTCTCTTGTTCTGAACTGGATTCACCTGATGAATCAGTTGTTGCCTCCTCCAACATGGTACGAATCCGTTCCTCTTGCCTTTCAAAATCCATTTCAGTCAAAAACTAAAAATAATAAAGAAAATCTCAAATAAATGAATGAACAACAAATGTATATACTAAAATCATAACAAAAATAATTTAAAATAATAGAAAAAAAGACTAATAAAACAGTTATAATTCATGATCAAATCATTACGTAAAAAAATACGTCAGAAATGAGGCAGGGTATAACATACCCGAGACAGGTTTGCGCACGAATATACCGGCCGGTGTCCCACGCCACACTGCGATCACGCCACTAACCCACCCCGCGTGCCCCGCACTCCAGCTACTGAGCGAGTTAGAGTTGCCGGGCGAGGATCTTAAAAAATACATTACTTTGAAATTTTATCAGGGTGTGTGATACCCTGGCTCATGCTCGCCGGGTTAAACACGTGCAGTTATTGTTCATTTATCTAGAAGTAAACTAAGACAAAGAAACTTAATAGGATTTATTATTTTCAACATAATATTATGTATTAGAAGAAATAAAGAATGAACTATTTATTTCATACACAGATATTTTTTTTTATAGGATCGAGTGACAAACGAGCACACAGTCCACCTAATGGTAAGTGGTTGCTGTGGCCCATAGACATCTACATTTATCCTCAATAAAAAATCAAAATGCAAAATGCAGCGTTGTCACTCGTGATGACTAAGACGGAATGCCTCTTTTCCAGTAAAAAGGGTCTCCGGTTCTCTACACTCACCATACAAAACACAGCAGCATTAAGCTGCTATTTTACGCTGGTATTCTGTGAGAGCATGGTCCTTCCCCGGTCGAGCCGACCCATTCGTACTACAACTTATAGCTGCAGCATGGCTCTACCACGTATGAAACGTTACAAACGTTTAAAAAAATATACACAAGCAGATGGCAAGAATATGTATGTAGAGGTCGAGGACTGCTTACACATTAACAATTAGCAGCAGGCACACATGCACAGTTAGAGTAAATAGTCTAACTGCTAGGCACCGGTTTAATTTCATTTCTTAGGGTTTTATGCAGCAGTTAGTTGACATTGCTCCACTAGTGCGTATTCGCGGACATCCAATCCCCGAAATACTTAATTCCTCTAACATGAATGCTTTGCCACTGTACTGGCCTTTGTAGGAGAGTTCTATGAAAAGGTTTAATTATAAAAACATTGATCATAAATTTGGTTTGTATCGCAAGATTTAAAAATCATATCCTTGAAGTCTATTAGATCTCTTATAGAATGAAAGACTTTTTTCAGTTTTAATTAAAAAGATAATATTTCCATTTTTTATTAAAGTTGTGATTAAAAGAGACCGGAATAAAGTAATAAAATTGTAATAGTATTTCATCATGATTCATTCATTGGAGTCCGTATATACTGTGTGCTGCATGGGGAAGGTCGGCAGCAGTGGATTTTGCGACTGCTGAACATAGGGTATTCCCCATAGGAAAGATACCTACTATTTACGTAGCCATCGCTTGTTTATTAATTATTAATATTATAATTCTTGATCACTTTTTATAATACCTTACTACCTTTGGGGCAAACATATTTATTCTTTTCTTATTCTGTAATATCGACTTGTCAGTGAAGTAACAAGTCTCTAACTGAAAGCCATCGCTGCCTTTGCAGCATTATGCTGAGTTGGATGAACTTAACGTGCACAAAATTAAAATAGAGAGATTTTTTTTTAATTTTGTGCACGTGAAGTTGTTACTTTAAGACAAAGTTGGCATATTACTTCAACATAAGTATTACGTAAACGCCACAGCTTGGAAGATTGAATTTTTAAAAAAAGAAAGAGACAAATAAACATAAGTTAATTTACGTATAAACCCTTTAGACTAAAATACAGCAGTGTTTGTTCTGCTATTTAGTTGCGGAAATAGGTAATGGGGTTGTCCCTACTAGTAAACAAATTTTACAGGAGAGGCTTATTTTGCAATAACATCACAATAAACCAGCTTCCAGTAATATAGTTTTGAATTAGATTCCACCTAATTTAATTTATATATTCATTTAGTAAATTTAATATTATGACAACCTATTACCGAATTTAATATATGTCTTTCTTTCAAAGTAATATCCACTGTATTTCTTATATATAAACTAACTAGCTGGCCAGTCAGACGTTGTCCTGCCCTTTTCGCGAACGTTCATATAAAAAATCCTTGTATTCGTAAGAAAATAAATATTGAGTGTCACTTATCAGGATAAAAACTATCCTATCTCTCAAGTTGGACCAAACTGCACACAGTATGTAAAATTTAATCGAAATCAGTTCAGTAGTTTAAGAGTTCATTGCGGACAAACAACGTGACACATAATTCTTATATATAAAGATAACAATTTCACTTCTGAAATATTGAAAGCTTATTAAAATTTTGACCTATTGAAAGTTTTTTTTAATCTTACTCATGGTTTGGAGAAAATCTCTGTCCGAGGAAGAACCAGCAAGAAATCCAGCGATACATTTTCTAGAGTAACATTACACAATAAAGAAAGTAGTAAAATTACATACAAAACTATTTAAGAAACAGCTTAGATGCGAACACTGCACTCACAGAGGTTATTATCAGTCATGTATTCATTTAAATTATAACTAGTATGTCACGTGAAATGGTTTATAAGGTTTGATTGTAACCGTGGTTGGTAACCGTGTAGTGACGGTGTAAATGTATCCACTACCCTCTGTCTGTCTCTGTCCGGCTAATCTCCAGTCTCGTCTGGACCAACTTTGACGGAAGTTACACTGATAGATAGCTGATGATTGAAGAAAAAGCTTAGGCTTCTATTATTATAGAAAAATAATTAGAGATCCACGCAAACACATTAGATCCCATGAAACCCAGTCGTAATAAATTCCATACGGACGCTGTCGTATGGAATTTATAATAACGCTAGTTATATATAAAAATGAAAATGCTTCTTTGTTCGTCTCTTTTGCCTTCCTATGTCATTCATCCGACATTACGATTCATTCCGATTATGCGATGAATCTTTGGTGGGTTGCGGTGCGCACAACTACAAAATTTTCTGTAAAAAAGAGACAATTTAAATCATACTGGGCACAGCATGTTTTCAATATAAATTTGTTGAGCTTTTAAATTAGTCTGGAAATATTGCTTACTGTACCTAACTAGTACCGTGTAGTGGCGGTATGTACAGCCTGTATAACACAAACAACTGACTGGTGCTATTCTATATTACGCATTGAGACGCATTGGATCCTAATACATATTGATGGGACATTCAAGTTTCTTAACTGATTGCTCTCGTCCAGGCACATATGATAGATAGAATTTAATTTATTCTTATTTTTTTTACTAGGCATTGTATAAGTAAATTACTAACTAATGTGTATGGATCTGAAATAAACATTATTATTATTATTTCAGAACAGGTTACAAAGTTAAATATGCAGCCTGAAAACCTTTTCTCTTAAAATATTATCTGCTTTTTAACAGTAACAATAACTTTGTGGTTCGCTGCGCTCATGCAAGAGTGAGATCGACTTTAGCCAGTGATGAAGACAGTGTCGCGATAAACAATTGAGTTTAGCGGCAACTTATTATTGTAAAACTGTACTGTTTTCGTGTACTTCATAATAAAAAAGAAGGATATCCACTACCTCGTAACTTTGGTTCCGTAAGATCCGATAGAGGGCAGTGATCAGGAGATAAACGGCAGCGTCTTCTTATAACAACAATAAATAATAAAACTGTAGTTGCCAACCTACCTGTCCGGCGTGGCATCTATAGTAAATATCCTTCTACGAAGCAATATATACTAATTCGGACTATACTCGGACTCCATAATCCTTTCCTGCACAGATGGCTAGGCTCTATAGAGACAGGCCACCGTGACTAAAATTTACTTAATTAAGATTTCAATATTAATAATATATTATATACTTTTTGTATATGAGCATTATTCTCTCCTCATTCGATCAGTTTCTATTGGGTTTACGAAACTTTAAAAGTATATTGGGATTAGCGAGCTTTACTATAGAATTAAAAGCGCTCGTTTTCTGTAGGTAATGGATTAATCAACGGAGATTTATATTATAAAACTTTTCCTAGCAGAAGCTAATTATATTTAGCAGGATCGGTTTGGATTTATCAAAATATTTATTCATTGACCAGAAGTACGAGTAACAAAACATTTAAAAGTCAAACTAATACAAAAATAATTTTTAAAGAAGGACAATGAATGGATTCTGACTCAGCATGTGTTGCAGACAATCTACAACGCTGTTATTCTGTCAGCACCCGTATACTTAACTAATTAAACTATAACAGTACGCATATATCACTGATTATATAACAAATAGCAATTGATTTAATTATTTATTCAGTCCATACAAGAACTATTAAATCAAACAGTAAAAGTTTTCATGTTATTACTATTAACAAATTAATAAATAACATTCATGTATAAAAGATAAAAATAATATAAACAAAATATAAACGAAATATACACAAAACATATAAAAAAATATTAAAGTAAGAGCTACTGTTTGATTTATTCAGACTTATTTTAGTATAATTATACTGAAACAACATAATGGTTATTAAAACGAATTTCGGTAGCAAATGTAAATTACATAAATTATGATTTTGTCTCCACTGAAGCTTTTCATATAAGTATTCTGGTTTGTTTGTTTTTATTACTCCAAATAGCAGTGAGGCATAAAATAATTTGAGACGTTCCTGTATTTTAAGCATATTAGATGCATTATGGTAAGGTGTAACATGTGTTCGTCTTGGGATGTAAAAAAAGAATCGAGCGCATGCATTTTGTACCCTTTGAATTAAATAATTAGATTTTTTTAAATAGGCAAGGTCCATACAAAGTTATAATTTAGTTTAGACAGAAATAAAGATTCACATAGTTTAACGCGTTATTATACAGCGATAAACGGCCTAATTGAATATAAAACTTTCAATAAAAAAAAACATCTATTTACGACATTAATTACATGATTTTCAAACTTTAAATAACTGTCCATGGCAAGCCCAAGATTTC